ACAGGTATCTTAAAGCTAAATGAAAGCTATGGTGTTTCTGTGCATATTTCTTGAAAGAGATAACATATGTCTTGGGAAGAGTAATATTCACTTGAAGAAATGTATATTTTGAATATTCAAACTGTAGAGCATGGCACAGAAAAGAAACCACTCCATAATTGCAGGGGAGAATTTTATTGTGGATAAGAGAGAATGTTCAAAGGCATCTGGAAGAGTTCAGAGCAGAAATAAAAAGGAACAGACTTGATGTGACCAAAACAGTCTGTGAGAGAAGGGAGAATAGCAAAAGAGAGTAGAGGAGATGGCTGGGGCAGGGGGAAAATACCTAGACTTCCTAAAGAGAGCAAGGGGAGTTCTAGAACATTTTGGGAGTCTGCATAGTTCAGAAGGAGGTGGGGTGGTTGTGAAGGGACTGGAAAGTAGATGGGGCTGTGAGATATATAGCAAGTACTTTTGAATCGAGACACAGGGAACCTGGAAGGCAGCATGGGTGTTGATAGCAGCCACAGGTAATTGGGGATCCATATGTCCCTTTTACCAGAGGCAAGGGAAATGACTCCTTCTGCTGTTCAAGATCCATTTCACAAATTCTTGATGAATGGTAATTTTTGTTTTTGTTTGTTTGGTTGGTTTGGTTTTGTTGTTTTCTAACCACCAGAGACCCTCCTATAGTCCATCTTGTGCTGGACAAAGACTGACATGTCTGGATATATGTGCTCCCTGAGAACTGACTTGTTTAAATCATTAGGAAAAAACTTTTATTTCTTTCACATCTATTTATGACAGACTACAAAGGAATGGGTTAATTATGGCATTTCAATACATAGATTACTTTCTTATTTGTTTTCTTTACCACACTCCAACATATCAGTCATTTTAAAACAGAATTACACAGCAGAAAATCTTTATAAAGAACTTTACAATTTGGTAGAGTTTTGCTATGTTAATTAGTACTGAATAATTACATCTATCAGTGAAAACACACAGTTTGCAGAAGGTACAATTTATTACTCTCACCAAAATTAAATCATTTTAAAGACATGGGCATTCTAGTTTTGCATGATCTTTCTATGATTATTATGTATCCAAGGTATACTTTATAATGAACTATGAGATTTACACAGCATCTTCCAGGTTGTTTCAGTCACAATCCTTTGTGCCTCTAGGCTTTACTTCTTCTAAGCATGCACCTCTCCTCCATAGTCTCCAAAGCTACCTGACTTACCTGTGCGTGCAGCTTTCTGACTGTCTCGCTAAGGCACATTTGTCTATAAAGACTCCTGTGATTCTTGCATCTGTTAGACTCTAAGTTTCACAGTGTTAACGTTGTCTGCATGCTGCTTTTATCACATGGACCTTTGATAGGTTAAAAGAATTAGGATTGAGAGTCTTTGGGGATAAATCTGCAGTTCACAAGGTTTTGCACAAGAATTCCTCCTATTATTGCACACATATTATTGCAGTTAGGGTTGGCAATGACATCCAAGTTGCTACTCCAATGGCCATTTTTCAGGAGTCACCTACTTCGGCCTTCATTTAATGTTAGCCATTGATCTCTCCTTTCTTGTGAATCCCTCTAGCGTGTGAATATTTCCTCTCTTCAACAGGATGCCTTGCAATGTGTTACTACTTTATTTATAAATCATGAATAATGTTGGTAAATCCAAATTCTTTTTTAAAAAATTGATTTTTTTAGTGTTCAATTTTTAAAATGATTTAAAATGAGATGGAATTACATCACTCAGCCCTTTTCTCACTCTAGACTAGTGGTTCTCAACCTGTGGGTAGCGACCCCTTTGGGGGTCCCTTAGCAGATATTCTGCATATCAGATATTCACATTGGGATTCATAACAGTAGCAAAATTACAGTGACAAAGTAGCAATGAAATAATTGTATAGTTGGGTGTCCCCACAACATGAAGAACTGTACTGAAGGGATGCATCATTAGAAAGGTGGGGAACCACTTCTCTAGACCCTACCAGCTACCCTTGTTCAAACTGTTCCCAGGCCCCTAAGTTGATACCCTCTGGAAGAGCCCCCTCCTGCAGTCTGTTCCCATTGCTTCCTTTCCTAAGCACCCTCTTCTTTTCTGTTGCATTTTAAAACTGTTGTTAAATTAACAGAGTCCTGTTGGAGAACTGAGCCTGTGTTTTAATATCATTCACCCTTTGAAATTAGGTATCAATTAACAACCACTGAATACCTGTTCTGTTAGTTGGAGACCTGGACCAGGAGAAGCCTTTTTTTTTTTCCTACATGGAAATCCTTGAGGAGAAAGCCATGGGAGGGATACATCGAACCTTGCTGTGCCAAGGCCCCGTGGAACTCAGAAGAGGCTGGAGAAGGAAGAAACAACATCTCTCCTTGTTCAGTGATGTTTTGATTGTATCTAATAACCTGTGAGTATGTGCATTGTGCCTTCCTTACTATGAGAGGCTACACTTTGATTAGGCCTTACTGTTCAAAACCACAAAAGTCTTATTTATTTCTTTTATTTTCTGAGATTATAAATACTTCATTATTACTTCCCCTTTCCCTTTCCACTTGACAAGTCCTCCCATATTCCCCCTCTTGCTCTCTTTGAAAATCATGGCTTCTTTTTTATTAATTGTTATTACATATAAATGTATATTAAGATATATGTATGTATATATACAATACATATGTATTTTTAGCTATACATATATTAGACACTTGTATATATGTTTTCAGGGCTGTCTATATGCTATCGGGTAACCAATTGTTTTGCTGCTTGATCCTGGGGAAAGAATAGCAACAAACTTGAAAAGGAGGCAGGTGTGGTTGCATATGCCAGCAATTCCAGCATGTTGGAAGCTGATTTATGAGCATCGCAAATTTGTGGATCTTGTGGAGACATCTTCTCAAAGTAAAATATTAAAAACATGATAATCAGGGGCCCTCTTGCTTGGTGTTTACAGATAGATTGTAGAAGCAAGAGGGGAAATCCCTGATTATGATGGTTGCTCATATGGGGCCACACATGTGAACCTCTGTGATCTCATAACTTCCAAAGCAGTGTGAAGAGATGAGAAGCAGCTACTGTCCCTAAACCAATCAGGGGAAACTGCAGATATCAACTAGGTCCAGCATGGTGATCATGTGGATGACATAGGAAACTGCTGTGATTGAAGCTTTATACATGGTGATATTGTCACATAGAACTGTGGAGGTATTTTCTGGGATCACCTCTCCAGAGGATTGTAGCCTTCATATTACTCTCAAAGGTATGAAATAGGTACTGGTCTTATCAAGTAAATATTTTAAGGGTGTGTTCTCATAAAGACATAAGTAGACTGGAGGACAGGCATCAATAGAACAGTTCACTCAGTTTTGGGGGTAAACTTTCTAGTCTCCAGTGATTAATATTGCTGAAAATCTACTTCACAAATGGTGAGGAGAAGGAAAGGTGCAGGAGAGAGTTCTGCTCTGCATTCTGGACACAACCAATTGGGTCCATTTCCTTTCAACCCTGAACAGTCCCCCAAAGTTCCCAGTCTAGACACTGATGGTCAGTCAGTGTCCGACAGCGGCAAGAATGAAAGGATTGAATGACCTGGCTGTCCACCAACCTGTCCATCTTCCTTGTCATTTCTCCTCAGCACCCCTTCATGCCATGGTTGGAAATCCTCATATTTTAATCTGAAAAGACAGTAATAAATTCTTTTGAAATCAATAAAACATACCGATAACTTCCCATATGAGTGTAATTTGTGAATGTAAGTGAAATTCACTGTGTTTTTTGAGAATAAATGAAAGTAAAATGGTTGACTTTCCTAAAAGACAAAGTCTTTGTTCCCCTTCTATTGTGTTACAATGGTAATTAAAACTATTTTGAGATTGTCGTTTATATTAAGGAAAGAGGATTATCAAGCTTATGAGATGATTTTCATAATTTACATTTTCAAGGCAGATTATCTCTTAACACAAATATTAGAATTAGAGGTTTCTAGTTTAAGCATTTCATATTATATATATGTATGTGTGTATATGTAATAATTGTGTATTAATATATATGCAATTAGATGTCTTGAGGGTGAAAAGTAAATGGAAATACAGATGTTTCATATATTTGAGACATATGTATGTAT